TGATGCCTTTCGGCTCAAGCAACCTGACCCAGGCTATACATGGGGCTCATTAACGACAAAGGGGAATTCAGTGGGAATCAGAATGCGTCTCGATTATGGCCTGATGAGTCCAGCTTGGTGGGATGCCGCATTGTACGTAGAAGTAATCACAGACCCCGCCTTAGACCATTACCCAGTAATAATGACTTTTCAGCTAGGCTACCAGCCGGGCCGCCCGGGACACCCCATTTTCCCAGGCGGCCCAGCCGTGCAAGGACCGGGGAGGGTCCCAACAACAAAACAAAAATCCAAAAATTCCGAAAAAAAATATGTTATGCAAGAAACAAAACTGAGCAACTTTTGCCTCAGGGTCAAATCGAAATTCTTTACCAAATTTTAAATAAAAATTAAATTTGTTTTTTTTTGTTTTTTTTTGTGGCCCGGCCGGGCAAGTGGTCTCGTGCCTTTTTTTTTTTTTTTTTTTTTTTTTTAAACAAGCACCCCTTCCAGTGCTAGTGTTGCTGATAAGAGCAGACAGCACTATCACCGGAGGAGAGGCTCCATCTATTGGTGGGGAGCGTCACCTGCTGGAAATCGGGTCCAGCGTCCCATTTTACAGCAAAACTGGAACCAATTGCCCTGCAGAATCAGGGGATTAACTCAGCAGGCTTATGTGAAAGCCAAAAGTGCATGTAAGAGAACCGCTGCTGCTTGCCGGCATCGATTGCCCTGCAGAGCAGGGGATTAACTGAGCAGACCAATGTAGACCTTGGAGAGCTGCTGTTGCCTTTGTATCTTTCCTTCAGAGAGAGGGCGCCGGATAGGAACCGCTGTTGCCTGCCAGACCTGTGTAGACCTTGGAGGACTGCTGCTGCCTTTGTATCTCTTCACCCTCAGAGGGAGGGCGCCAGATAGGAAAAATAGGGACTGATACTGACCGGCTGCTGACTGCAAATGCTGACTGCTTTTGTGAAGTATGGACAGGGTCTTATGAGAAGGCCCTTCCCTTCTGCTAAGGATCCCCTCCTCCATACCACTGCTTGGGAAAGAGGTCGGGGAAGTCCGAGGCAGGGCGCCAAGGAATGTCTTGATGGATATCTGTCCATTCTTGAAAGAGAAGYTGGTAGTTCCTGCCACTTTGTCCTACAATTCCTTCCCCCCCTACTCCTTCCCCTTCTCCCTCCCATCGAATATTTGCAATGGGCTTCCCTTGGGTCCCCCCCAGCCAGTCCTTGCTGAATTGTTGGATGTGTTTCTTGATTTCTGTTTTAGTATGTAGGGTTACTAATTTTTCTTTAACTTTTTCCCATTGAATAGTAATTTCCGCTTGCACATACAGTCTGATTTCTTCCTGTAGGGTTTGGCCATCCAGTCTTACTGCCTCCATTTCATAAACACATCGTCTCCTCCATAGCGTCCAAAGCACCGCCCGCCTCCCGATTTTAAACATGTTTTCTTCGAAGGATGTAGCCTGTTCCGGGTGCCATGTTTCACACAGAAGTGCCTTCCAATCCCATGGCCAAGTGGTTGTGGCGCCCATCTGTCTCCGTGCCACTCTGGTAGCCTAGCTTTTCAGTTATTGGATGTGGTGGACCGGGGGAGTGACTTTTTCCGCTTTAACGTTCAGAACCTGAAAGACCCGATGCTTTTGACACTCCTCGGCTGCGCCGTCGACTTCGCTTCGAAATTTGGTGAGTGGGGGTAAGGTCGGGATGGACTGATGCTTGTCGTACCCTCAGGAGCGTTCGTCTTTTGCCATCCTTCTTTCACAAGTGCGTGCACTCCACAGTGCTGTGTGGCGAAGGGGGGGCAAACTGTCGAATGGAGGCTGTCAATTTTTTTTTGACAGCCGTCGAATTTTTGTGCCTTTCGACAGTGGTGCGGCAAGGCCCTAACTCTTGATGCCGCTTCCTGAATTTCCATTCAAGCGCTGTCAGATTCACTCTAAAAAACGTCGAGAGTGAGTCATCGCTGCACTAACTGTGGAAAAGTGCTCTTGGTCCGGCGCTTCAGGAGGTGTCAGAAATGGCCCATAGGACGAGCTCTTGAAGTTTCCACAGTTCCCGGCTGCAGGGGCGTTTTTTTCAAACGAGGCCGACCGGTCGCTTCATGCAGTTTGCAAATTCGAGAGTTGGCCTCCAGTCTCGGTGGACAAGTCGAGAGTCCGGAGTAAGTGCAGCGACGACAGCACTTGATGCCAATCCAGGAGTCTGACAGCGCTATACGTACTCTTGATATTTTTCATGCGTCTAGAGTGGTGCACAAGGCCCAATATCAGCCCACAATTTTCCCACAAACGGTGCACAGGATACACCTTTTATTTTTTCTCGTTCTTTAGTTATTATTATATATTTTTAAAACTATGCTACATTCTTCTCTTGGGTTCACCTCTCACTACCTACCTACCACTTCTCCTAAGGCTATATAGGGGACCCGTTCAAGCAGAGCTACCCCACAATTAAGGGATTAGGAGGTGCAGCTACTAGCTAAATGCTTTGTCTCTGTGTTAACCACCACTACACCCTGCACCGCCACAACTCCCTGATGATGGCTGCAGTTAGGGCAGGGGGCAACATACAATCCCTTTCCGTTTTTCCTCAAAACACTGATTGTTTTCTTTTCCTTCGTAGTACATGTGTGTCCTACACGAGACGGGCGAGGTTCGTAATAGGATTGTATGTGTGTGCTGCATGATAATAGACTGTGAACTTGTGCGCTGCACGACCAAGTGCGAACATGCGCACGTGTGACGCATGAGTTTTGCCGATTGCCCATTTACCTGTCCACCAAAAGCGCGAGGTTCGTAATAACATAGCACGTGGCCTTTGAAGTGACCTTTCCTTCCTGTGGGGACCATAAGGGAGGTCATCCCTTCAAGGGGGCTCGGCAACCAACAGCTTCATGCAACCACTCCCAAAACCCCTGCTGCAGGGGGGAGTCTACTTGATCAGAAGAAAGCCGGCGTCTTGCGGCTCAACCTGCGGCTCACCCTTCCTAAGTATCAATGGATGGCGCCCCACAGCGGACACAAGGATGCCAGATGCAAGCAGTGTGCAGAGGAGGAAGAAATGGTACTGCATCTGTGGCTAGACTGGCCCCGCAATGGGGATTTTGGGAGTGGTGGCATGAAGCGAGCAATACGTCAAGCACGAAGTGGCAGATGCGAACTTTCGACGTCTTAGCTATGTGTGATACGCAGATGACTTTGTGATAGGCATACCCGGCCCTCTTCCTGACGCAATTGAGATACATGATCTTATATCGACCTTTCTAAGTACGCTCGGACTAGAGCTAAACAAAGAAATTAAGATATCACATATTGATTCCGGATTCTTCTTCCTAGGTACCCAAATATCTCGCGTGGTAAAAGCAGAAGGTACGAAAGAAGGAAAAGATTGGTGCTTTTGGTTCATTTTATGCCTCTAATTAGCGATGAGATTTTTTATCATTTTTAGCATGGCCTCGAAAGGTACCGGTAGCTGAGGATTCTCCTAATTTATGTCCTACCATTTGGTCAGTAATAAAAATAGGTATATGCTCTCATCCATTATGTATGGCAATTGTATGTCCAATCATGCTAGGAATTATTGTAGATCCTCTAGACCATGTCAGAATAAGCAAATACATATTTCAAATCTTTTTTTTTTTATTGACGATCGTGATAGTTGATTCCATAGAAACTCTTGAAAATCAATCATCAAACACATAGATGGGCGTCCCACCGTGTTTTTTTTAATGATTGAGTCTGTTTAGTTTGAAATCAAGCTCACTTGGTGAAAATGGTACTGTTCAAAGTATGCTAAGAAAAACGATGTTGCTTTACAAAGATGCTAAATTTCAACAACGCTGGACCTCTGAGATGAAATTATTGAATCCTAAATTTTCGGAACAGATTAACTTGATATTGCAATCAAAACAAAAACTCAGAGAATGATATAGTCCATTTTTTATTTAAATTCAAAATGACCCTGGTAGTCCATGCCGTAAACGATGAGTGTTGGTCCTTGGTCTACGCCCGGTGGTTTTTTGGGGGGTGATTCGATGACGGACCTAGCTAACACGTTAAACACTCCGCCTGGGGAGTACGGTCGCAAGGCTGAAACTCAAAGGAATTGACGGGGCCCTGCACAAGCGGTGGAGCATGTGGTTGGTTGCCGCAACTTGCCGGGCCCCCACTCCCAAAATCCCCGTTGCGGGGCACAGTCTACCTTATCAGAAGCAAGCCGGCGTGTTGTGGCTCAACCTGCAGCTCACATTTCCTAAGTATCAATGGATGGCGGCCGACAGCGGGCACATGGATGCCAGATGCGAGGAGTATGCAGGTGATTTTGGGAGTGGTTGCATGAAGCTGTTGGTTGCCGGCCCACTTAAGGAGGACTGACAGATGGAGGGTGGAGGTGATGGTGGGAGGGCGCCTGGCGGATTTAACTGACACAATGGAGAAAGTGTATGCCTCAGACGTAGTTAGGGCGGCGTGTATGGTGGCCGCCTCGGCCATGTGGGCCCATTTACGGATGGGGTGTGTGTGGGGCTCGATGAAGAAACTATGAGCGTGGATGATCACGAATCTTCGAGTGGCAATTGCAGAGGACAACAAGCCACGGGAGGGAGAAGGATGACACTTTTTCTACAACGCCTGGAAGGCATAGATAGAGAGCACTGCCCGACAAAGACAGTGCAAGCATGAGAATGGATGAGGAAGAATACGCCCATAACCACTAATCCGTTATGAACACAAAATGAGATAAAGAGTCTCAAAAAGGTCAGAAAGAAAACGTTCCAATAGAACATTGAACTTCCACAACCACATGGCCATCCCTCGACGCAGTTCATCTACCCCGCACGCAGACTCTTCAGGAGGACAAACAAGACCCCGCACACAGACTCTTCAGGAAAACAAACAAGACCCAGGTTTCAGATACAGCTTGAGGCCTTTCCTAATGCCTTGCCTCTTTTATACCTATCCTATCCCAACTCGTTCCCAATCCAACCCAACCATCCACACAAACGTCAACCCAAGTGCCTGTCCCACTATAGTCCAATCAGCCGAGGGTGAAGATAGCAACCAATCACTATCCATGATCTAAACAGCACATGTTGTCGTCTTACGGCCCCGAGCATCCGAAGGTTTGAGAAACAGCATGATCGCAGGGAGATGTCGAGCATGAACCACTGATGAAGCAACAAGTGAGTACCTGTAAGGTACAAACCACACCGGACACAAGACAGACAACAAAACACGCACGAAGGTCGTCGCCCCTAGTGCTCACAAGAGTCGGAGAACGACGGAGTATGAGCCGCTGTCGAGATGGAAGAACAATCAGGCTGGCCTCATCAGCGAAGAAGCCTGGTGGAGTCAGGTCGTCACAAGAGTAGCAATGCCAGTCGACGAAGATGGGCGTGCAATCCCGGAAGGAGATCGTACCCAACTGGTTCACCCACGGCAGCGGCTGTGCACAAGGCCCAACCATAATAGTACGTTCTGTGCACAAGAGGGTTTCCGGCCAGGTATCCTCAGCCTGGAGCCCTGTCCCAACCGCAAAAGAGTCCCGATAACTGTCCCACGGAGACGTCTGAGAACCAGGCAAGCCCAGTCCTGGCAACCCGAACGGCCACCGCACCAAGGCTGAAATGAACCTACCCAAAAACAGGCTGAAATGAACCTACCGAAAAAAAGGCTGAAATGAACCTACCGAAAAAAAGGCTGAAATGAACCTACCCAAAAAAAAAGATGTTCATACATTGGAAAAAACCATACATGCAAGCGCACATCGTGCGGGCGGTTCCCTACGTGCGGCGCACGTGCCCAACCGATCCCGTGCGGCGCACGACGTGTGCGGAGAACGACCCGTCACCCCCCTCAGAAAAAAAATAAAAGGCCGAGGTCGAAACCGTGCATTTGAGGCCCCCCGCCAAAATTATAAGCGAGATGAAAATTTTTTTTACAGGAGTACTGCCTCACCTTGCTCCTCCTCCCCTTCCTCATCCTCCATGTCTCCTCCTCCCTTCTCCTTTTCGTCTCCTCCTCTTCCTCCTCCTCCTCCTCCTCCTCCTCCTGTTCGTCCTCCTCCTCCTGCCCTTCCTCATCCTCCTTGTCTCCTCCTCCTCCTCGTACTTCCTCATCTTCCATGCCTCCTCGTACTTCCTCATCTTCCATGCCTCCTCGTCTCCTTCCCTTCCTCGTGTCCTCCCCTTCCTGGCCGTCCATGTCTTCTCCTCCCGCTCGTCCTCCTCCTCCGGCCCTTCCTCTTTTCCCTCCGTCCATCTCTTCTCCTCCCCCATCTCCACTCCTCCTCCTCCTCGTCCTCGCTATCCTCGTCGTCCTCCTCCTCCACATCCTCCTCCTCCTCTCCATATCCCCCTCTCCTTGTCATATCCCCATCTTCCTGTCATACGCCCCCCCGTTCCCCCTCCCAAAAAAAAAGTTAATAATAATAATAAAAAGAAACAAGTGCGGTAGTAGCACACTTTCAAACTGTAAAGGCAAAAAAAACACTAATGGGCAACGGAAAAATGGCCGCAGTTCGAAAAGGCAGTCATAACATCAGAAGGCGGTAACATCAGGCCCCGAGTTTGAAAAGGGCGGTTGTAGCACACTTTCCTTTTTTTTTCCTTCGATCGCACGTCGCGCATCATGCCGCGTTTTTTTTTTTTTTTTCCGGATGCACGCCGCGCCGCGCCGTGGCTGAAAGGAAAAAA